ACAATTTTCGAACAAGCTGTACAAAACAAAATTTAACAAGCAAACAATAATCAAAAACGTCTGCATTTTTGGATTGGAAGAAACTTCTGTTTTTCCCTCTATTTCAATATACGAAATCGTATATCACTATAACAGCATCGTTTGAAAGATAGTGTCGAGCATTTACAAAAATGAAAAACCTAAGACCTAAATGTGGAAGGGAGTTGAAAGGGCTAAATGTGACCTAAACAGACATAAAAAAACTGCAAAAAAAATTGCAAAACGATTTTTATCTGCCCTTGACCTGGTCTAGTTATCCGCTTAGATATGAAATCAATGCTTAGTATAGACTCAAAGAGATATCAGTAATCGTATCTTCATTTGGGGTTCGAAATTTTAAATGAGTTTGCTTTTCAAATCTGCACTTCGCCTAGTCAATATTGTTACTTACTTTATTTATTTATTTAGCATAAAGCTATAACAGAAGACAATCATATTTACATTTTAAATATACAAGCCATTAGCAAATTTAAATAAGTATAAAAGTACAAAAGTACACAGAACAAAAGTATATAACAGCAGAAAAATTATAAATGAAAAATCAGAATAAAATTTCAGACAATACATAAGTTTTAATTAATCTTTTCAAAGCATTTAAATTATCACATTCCTTAATATTTTTTGGCAGCCTATTAAACTCTAACAAACCTTTATTTAAAATGGTATTAAACATATATGTAGTTTTACATCGATTGTCTAGGATGAAATCAGTAGGGTTTCTAGTGTTATAGCCATGAACATTCTTAAAGTAATTAACCCTATTACGAATGTATGGTGGCATCATTTTATTTTACATTACTTTTTCGTTTACAGTTAATATTTGTAAAACATTTAACATAGTCATCACAGGTGTATATCTATTACATTTTAGAATTAGGCGCGTTGCCCTGTTTTGTAATTTCTGAAGTTTCGTTAGTCTTTAGTTAGATATACTAAACAACAAAGTTGAACAATATTGCAAATGTGGCGCCGCCAAGCTATTGCAAAGTGACCATTTTGTATAACTTGTTAAATTTTTGCCTGCTCTAGGCCACCTTCTGTGAGAAATTTCTCATTATATAATCACAAACCACTCAATCTATGTTTTTTGCCATACAAACAGAACTTCGACTTCATGACATTAATGCTAAGATTGTTATTGCACAGCCATACAAACACTCGATACAGGTCAACATTGATACCTCGCTGCATTTCTTTGATATTCTTACCAACCATGGTAACGTCCGCAAATAATGTAATTTTACTGTTTTTCACAACTTGAGCTAGATCATTAATATACAGACAAAACAAAAACGGCGCCAAAACAGTCCCTTGTGGTACCTCATGATCCACCAAGATAGACTCAGACACACATGACTCATACTTTACTTTTCGTGTTCTGCCAGATAATTAAGATTTTAGTCAATCCAGGGCTAAGCGCTTTATACCCAAATTTTCTTATTAAAATACCCTATTGACAGTCTCAAAAGCTCTTCTAAAGTCCAAAAACACAGCCAAAACAAAACTATTGTCATCGACATTCCCACCATATTCACAGATTTCTAACCATGGCAGTCTCGCAAGAATGTCCCGTTCGAAATCCGGATTGACTAGAGATAATTAAATTGTTTCCATCACAATGCCTCCGCAGCTGCTCCTTGGCAACGAGTTCCAATAACACAGTGTTACTCGAACCAAAGTTGCCTTATTTTACTTAATGTATTTTAGTAATGTTATTTTTTTTAATTATATCAACATCTACTTTTGGCTTTATTCCAATACGGTAATAAACAAATGACGATGATTAAATGTATTTATAAGAGCACCACTCAGAAAGAAAACAAATACTGTAGAAAATGAGGCACACAATTGACTTTTAGACAATAAACTGGGAACTAATGATGAAAAAATGACTAATGTGATGATACTAGAGGAATCAAAATCTTTTACGATAAACAACAGTTTTATTAATTTTTCCAAGAAACTTCCGCAGGCTACTGTAATACTTTTCACAAAACTTCTGGATTCCTCCTGCGTCGGCTTTTGTTGACTCGAACTTGCAAACGTTTCGCTAATCATCCTGTTGGCTTCTTCAGAGCTTATTTGGAACTGAGACATTCTTATTAATTATCATTATAATTGTAAATTCGTTTGTTTTTCGTTTAGCATTTCAAATGGTAAATGCTATATATAAAACCACCCCATAACAATTTTCGCATTGCTTTTATAGGTTAAGAGAAAATGGTGAATACAAAAGCCGTAAAGAATTGTAAATCGTTTTGAAGTATTTAGGGTGTCTGGAAAAAGCGCGACGAACAAAGCAAAATTTTTTTTAGGGAAAAGCCCTATTTTTAAATTTTTGTTTGGAATTAACTTTAAGGTTCCTCAACCTTTTTTTTATTAATAATTCATATACCTAATAGTTTTTCCCGTATTTCGATTTTCCTAAAAAAATATACTTTTCATACAAAAAAATTCAGATAGGGCCATTACTTCTGAACATTTGAATTTGAATTACATGCTACAGGGTCTTCAAATTTAACGAATATATTTGTACTATTTCAAATTGAAAAATCTACAACTTTTGGCTTTCTAAAAAATTGGGATACACATGTTTAGTGTTTTTCGTATTTTTTCCTGGACGTTTATTATCCATTACTTCTGCTGTTGTAGAGGGATTTACATCAACACGATCTTTAACATATCAACAAAAAAAGAAATCTAGTGGTATTAAGTCACATGATGAGGTTGCCATCCAATGATCCATTTCTGGGGTAATGATTATTTAGAAATTGTTGAACTTCTTGATGGTAATGTGCTCCATCTTGCTGAAACCACATTTCAATACTGAACATGATAATGTTTAACTGGTATACATCTATGAGAAAATATTACTGCCAACACAGCATTTTTTCCGCCCCACCCAGTATAAAAATAATATCAATCATTGTCAATTTGGTTTTTTTTTAAAATTTACTAACAAAGTATGAATGTATCTATGTAAGTAAGAATTTAATTGCTCAGATGTCAGGTAAAAATTTGACAACTTCATTTTATCATGGCCAACTAATATTATAGCAACATTGAAAAAGTTGAAATAAATGGCAAAGTATTAAAAACAAGTACGTATAATAGTTGGAATTATCCAAAAATATTATGAAAACTAGGATTTTTTTTAAATAAAATATTTAAAAAACGATTAGGTTTAGATATATATTATCGTTAATAAAAAACTTACAAAAATTTGAAAACAAAAACAATATTAAATAATAGATTGCTCCATTTAAACAAACCATTCACTATATTCCAGTTGCACCTTATTCTACTTATTTCCCTAATTTCAAATGCATTAGAGGCAGTAACAGAGGCAGAAATTTTTTTCTTTGCAATTTGGCTAACTTTTCTGTGTCCAATTTCTTTGAGTGTCTTCTAAGTTGGCCATTTTGACCGGACTAAAAATGGTATCAACATTAATCTTTCCCTTAGATTTGTGAGTTGTAATTTAGCTAATCTTTCAATGTTATGTAATTTTGTTGGCAATTTGTTCATACTGTGTATTAATTAGAGACGTACCTTTCTAATTGTTACGACACTGCTGTTATTTCTGTTGCTTAAAGGCCGATGAAGAAATTATTAATAAATTACTTTTATAAATATTTTTCATAACGCTAGCAAAACCGTTTTACAGGCCTAATCTACTCTAAACTAATATAAAACAGGCAGTATTATAATTTGTCGTAAAATTATTTTTTTATTTTTTGCATCAAGAACGTCCTTAGAAGTATTTTATAAAGCAAAATAATTATTAAAGACTTAGCTATCTCGCTGGCAATTATAGCAAAACAAAATTGCGTTCGAAGAGCAGTAATAAAGTAATTATCAAATAAAATAGCACGGACAGCTAGAAATTGTAACATTTGTTATTGTCACTGTTTGGGGGGTTTCTAATAAAACGGTTCCGTGTTCTCAGAGAACTGTATTGGGAAACCATTTCTTTCCGCACTCGTTTTCCTCATCTAATAATGCATCATGCAGTTCTACTTCCATCTCCCACTTGATGGCTCAACTTCCTGAATAAAAGCAATTTCATCGGGACTAGTTGGTTCAACAGCACTACTGGAAGCAAAATCATTTTATCGGGATCACTTACTACTTCCTTTATGGAGAGCAGATGTAGTACATTATTACCAACATTAACTTTCCAAGATACTCTTACAAAAAATTTTTTGTTATATAATTATTATATACAGCTTTTATGATGACATGGTTCATGATAAATATATAATAATGTCCTTGCGCGAAAATATTAATAAATAAATTTTATAAATAATTCAACAAAACAAAAAAAAATTCAAACGAATTTATTCGGTAAGCTACAAAATCGTAAAAAATGGTATAAAACAGTTGGAGGAGCAGTAATAAAGCAATTATAAAGTAAAATAATGCATACCGTTAAAAGTTATAATATTTAGGACGGACTAAAAAAAATTAAGAGATCAAATATGTTCATAAATTAATGCAAAAGTATCTATGTCTAATTCTCTATGAACAAATAATATTCTGGTTAATTAGGTCGCCATTGCACTGGTTAAATCGAGATCTTTCTTGTAAAAAATAAAATATCTATCTAAATCAAAATGTCTAGTTTTTAGTTACCAAAATAAACAATTACTTTTACAGTAGATAAATAACAAACGATCTTACTTTAAAAAAAAAACAGAACCTACTATTAATAATTTTGTGCACCATTATTGTCTGGTAAAACGGACAGGTGAAATATTGATACGTAATGCACGTGTGCTAAATTTCATTAAAGTACGTGGTGGTATTACAGATATTAAAAAAATATATTTTATTAACGACATATATTCATATAAAGTTTTCTTTAGAAAACACCTTTTATATTGATTGTTCTATTTGAAAAACGGAAAATATGAAAGTGAGTTCATTAGAGAAGCTAGTAATATTTCTATTGCTTAAAGGCGGAGGTTACGGAGGCGGCGGCCACGGAGGCGGCGGCTACGGAGGCGGCGGCTACGGAGGCGGCGGCTACGGAGGCGGCGGCTATGAGGGCGGTCTAGAACTGGGCGGCCACCACCATGAAGAGCACGTCAAGACGGTCGTGGTGGAGAAGAAAGTGCCGGTACCCTACACCGTTACGAAACACGTGCCTTACACTGTAGAAAAGAAGGTTCCCTACGAGGTCAAAGTACCGGTACCTCAACCCTACACCGTCGAGAAAAAGGTAAGAACTTATTGGTTCTACGGTTACAAAAACTACAATTTTTTGTTGTTCCAGGTACCCGTCCCTGTAAAAGAGTACATCAAAGTGCCGTACGTGGTACCGCAACCCTACGAAGTCATCAAAAAGGTACCGTACGAGGTGAAAGTTCCGGTCCCGAGGCCGTACGAAGTTAAGGTTCCAGTTCCGCAACCCTACACCGTCGAGAAGAAGGTTCCAGTACCGGTGAAGGTACCCGTTCCGCAGCCTTACACCGTGATCAAGAAAGTTCCGTATCCCGTGAAAGTCGAGGTACCGGTACCTCAGCCGTACACCGTCGAAAAGAAGGTACCGTACGAAGTGAAGGTTCCCGTCGACAGGCCGTACCCGGTGCACGTGCCCAAACCGTACCCCGTCACCGTGGAGAAACACGTGCCGTACCCGGTGGAAAAACCGGTTCCGTACGAAGTTAAAGTACCAGTGGACAAGCCGTACCCTGTGGAAGTACCCAAACCGGTGCCTTACCCGGTCAAGGTGCCGGTACCTCAGCCTTACACCGTAGAGAAGAAAATACCCGTGGAGGTACCCAAACCGGTACCATATCCGGTCAAGGTTCATGTGGACAAGCCGTACCCGGTTATCAAAGAGGTACCGTATCCCGTGGAAAAACCGGTGGCGGTACCAGTGAAAATTCCGGTTCATGTGCCCGTTAAGGTTCACGACGAGCACTACGGAGGCGGCGACTTCGGGGGCGGCTACGAGGGCGGCTACGAGGGCGGCTACGGGGGCGGCTACGGGGGCGGAGAGAGTCACGGGGGGTACCACTAGTCTCGTTGCTAATTTTCTAGGTTGTTATGAGCAGTTGTATTTTAAATCAAATTAAATCCCGGTATAAATATACCGCGTGTTTCGGAATGCGTGCAGTATTATTACAACAAGGACTGTGTTAATTATTGTATATTTATCTACGTTTATAATATAATTATTTTCTACGTGAACTGGTGGTTTCGTTAATCCGTAGTCTCTCGCCGTAGCGATCAAATTATATGCTTTCTAAAATACACGCTAGAGGGAACTTAATCTAATTAATATGTCCGATTGTCGAAGCGAAACGGATCGCACTTGCGCGAGATTATCGGGAAGTTTTCCATTTTCGCAATGCGTCAAAGTTTATATAAAAAATAACGTTTTCCGTATTTGCCGCGAGATTCTGTCTGTGTGTCTTGTTTTTTGTAAATTTTTGTAAATAAAAACGTCATATCGACGGAAAAGAGAATTTTTATTTATTGCCCTTGACCGACAGGCCAAATATAATAACAATGGAAGTATTTACTTTTCCAACATTTACTCACAAAAAATTCGTCCGGACTAAGAAATGTTTTGGACTGCATATCAAAAAGTATTTATTTATTTATCAGAATTATGATGACCCCTTCAACGTAATCCCCCCAGATATAATACACTTGAGCCAGCGATTCTTTCTTTATCTCCTCAATCGTTCCAAAATTCTTTCCTTTCTTGGGTTTTGGGAATAGGAAAAAGTCACAGGGGGCCATATCCGGTGAATAGGGTGACTGAGGCATGATTGTGGTTTTGCTTCGGTCCTTGCGGGGTTTGAAATGAATATTTAAAAAAAAAAAATGGCACGTCACTGCTTTTTCTGAAAACAAAAATTATTTTTAACATCCCCATTGAACTTGGAGCAAAAAAAATAGTTAGTTTCGACGTAGAATCCCTATTTACCAAATTTCCTCTTACTGAAACTCTCGACATCATTTCAGATATATTAAAATCCGAGAATCTTGAACCAAATCTTCTCACTTTAAACGAAAAATGCTTATCGGGAACATATTTTTCTTATAACGGTAAAATTCTTGAACAAACGTCGGGAAGAGCTATGGGTTCTCCGCTATCACCAGTCATCGCGAATATATCTATGGCCTTTGAGAAGAAAGCTCTCGACACCTTTCATCTAAAACCAAAATTATGGAAACGCTACGTCGATGATACTTTTGTTATTTGGCCTCATAGTCAAGAAGCCCTAGTAAACTTTCTTAGACATTTAAACTCTATACACAGTAACATACGTTTTACCATTGAGTTGGAAACTAATAACAACCTTCAATTCTTAGATATTCTTATCAATAGAAAATCAGGCCTAACATTGGGTTATTGTGTTTACAGAAATCCTACGCACACAGACCGATACCCTAATACATGGTCACATCACCATCCGGCCCAAAAATCATCGGTTATCAACTCCAGGAGCTGTAAAACTATCTCAGCCCGAATCACTGAAAACAGAATTAAAACATCTTACCTCTGTTTTTCTCTCTAATAATTTCCACAATAAAGATATTAAGCGTTCCATCACAAAATACACTTCACCACAACCTTCTAATAGCAATGAGGCCGAAAGCAATCTTACACTTGCCACTGTGGTCCTTCCTTACATTCAAAACATCACTGACCACATATCAAAAAGTTCTAAAGAAGTATAACGTCAAAACCAGATTTACCACTTGTCCAAAAATCTCTCAACATCTTCGGTCCGTCAAAGACAAAATTCCATTTGAGATGCCATGAGTTGCACATTCTTGGTGAAACAGGTAGTTTTAAGAGGTGTACTGCTCTTATAAGGAGACCAAAAACAGTTCAGATAGAGGAAGTTGCCAACGAAACTAGCACGAGAAAAATTGCAATTAAATTAAACGTTACCCATGTATTAGTATAGCAAATTTTAAAAGATCAACAACTTTACCCTTGCATATGCAACGAGTCCAAGCCCTTGCTTGCTATGTTTCGTAGATTATGGAAAGGTATTCGACCGCATACAGGGCCGCGAACTAATAAAGCTCCTTAAAATGCTCGATATACACTCAGTCAAAAAAGTCTACGTCTTCTTTCACTTAGAATTAATGAGAAAATCCATTAAAATCTCATTTAATGGATACAGTGAAAACTTCCTATAGCGAAACTCTGTATTACGAACAAAACTTGTTGTACTATTAGGTCTCCATACAAAAATATGTATAACGAATTTCTCACTATCTATAACAAAATAAAAAAGGGCACATCAGGTAACAAAGCAAGGAATGTAGGCCGACTTGTAATTAATAGAGTCTCTTACCTTCTCAGAATTCCTTACCATAATAATCTAATTTATCGGTATGTATAAAAGCACACCATTGTTTCAATCAGTTCCAATTGGACTAGAATCGGGAGAAAAGAAAAGTGATGTGGACTTACATCGTCGACTGTATCCACGATTTAGAAGTGCAAAGAAAACTAAGAAAGCCAAAATTTGAAGCTTTGGATAGGGCAATGTCGCAGTGGTGCCAACAGCAACGGCTTAAAAATGTACCACTCTCTGGACCTATCGTAAAACTAAAAGCAGAAAAGTTTGCTGAACAGCTTGGCATTATCGATTTCAAGGCTTCGGAAGGATGGTTGGGGAAGTTCAAACAGACACATGGTATAAATTATGGACAGATAAGTGGTAAAGCCCGTGATGTCGACAGACTCATCACTGGAGAAAACGTGGCCAAAACTAGCAGAAACTGGTATTTTTACAAAGTGACGCCAGATAAAGCTCTTAAATTTCGAAGCGAAACGTGAGTCGGTGGAAAACTTTCTAAAGAACCTATAGTTAGTAGCTGCCAATATGAGTGGCAGAGAAAGAAGAAAGCTAGTCGTGATTGGAAAATCAACTAACCCACGATGTTTTAAAAACATCCAAGCATTTGCCGGTCACTTACTTCTCTTAGCCACTAAGCGCGTGGATAAAGCAGTTTCAAACAACAATTACGTTTACAAGTCAGGAGTTGCAAGATTTTATGGTGATAGATCAGGATTTGCCTACAACAGCAGACTTAACACGGGAAGCCATATTACAACAAGTAAGAAAGTGTGAGGAAGAGCACCAAGAGGAAGAAGAAGATGAAGAAGCTGATCTGGGACCACCACCAACCATTCAACAAGCCCTATATCCAGTTAAGCTGCTAGAGACATTTTTTATGTATCATGGGGAAGATACCCTCTCGAAGAATTGGTGAAAATCCAAACCAAAATATGAGATGCGTATTGGCATACTAAAAAAAATCAAAAGAAAATGACCGAAAATGTTCCTAAATAATATTACAGAACACATATGCGTATTGTTATTTATCAAGTGCCTATAACTTTATATAACGAAAAAAGAGGGCAGTCCCTTCAATTTCGCTATATAGAGTTTCGACTGTATATGTTATTCGCTGTGGAATTATTACTCGACTAGCGCAGAAATGGATTTCGTAATATCTAGTAGCAAATAATCGATAATCTTTTACGGGGTAAAGTTGGTATAAACTAAATGCGTATTAAAAACAATTAGGCCGTTATTAAGATTCTAACAACTACCAGTTCGGATAAAGAATGTCGCTGAATACGTTAAACGATTTTTGCGAATAAGATTGCGTAACTAATAACACCCATATATTAAAATATAGATTAGCTTACATCCAAAAATAAAAAATCCCTTCAATTTGCAAGCCCATATTCGTTTTCACAATAATATCGAGGCAAATGACAGGTCTACATAATTAAATTTTTGGACAGATGTTTTTATTTTGAAAACTGTTTTTATATAATTTTGGTTAGTTGTATCTCGTAAGGTTTTTCTGCAAATATTAAAGAAAAAAAATGATATTTCTAAAATAATTTATTTTTTATATATTTTACGGGTATGGTTACAATACAAGATGTATTTAAATACTGACAGCATCTTGCCGCATTCCATCCTCTTCCTGTAGATTTCGTTCATTCATCAATCTTCTGGTCGTTTCATTCCACGATCTACGTGGTCTGCCTCGTTGCCTCTTTAATGGTGGAATATTCTTTTGGACCATCTCTCTTCAGGCTTTCTTAATAAGTGTCTATAGCAAAGATACTCCTTTTTAGATATGCATTTCTGATCCCTAGCTCAAAACTGGCTCCACCATTGCTTTCCCCACTCGTTTGTTGTTTTCATTTAGAAATTTTTATCCCGCCAAAATGAGTTAAGGTTTCCTACGGTTTTGCTACTCTGCTGTATTCTCATTCAGCATCAAAGATCTGTTCAAGAGAAGACAAGAACAAGAACTAAACAACACACCAGTAAAGAATAGCATCGAGAAAGAATACGAGAGTCTAAAACAAGTAATAAGTAAGAAAGCACCAGAAGAATTAGGAACAAAAACTAAAAGGAAGAAATCAGAAGCCCCGTATATGACTGAAGATATAAAAGAAAAAATCAAAAAATAAAACTGATTTCTACAGTAGATGGCTTACCACAAAGTTACCTCAACATAGAGAAGAACATCAAACCAAAAATAGAGAACTACGAAGATCAATAAAAATAGAAAATAACAATTTTTGAAAATAAAAGTGCATTCGTATTGAAAACCTGATGGGATGAGCTCAGTCAACAGAGGCATTAAAAACAGTTTCAACCTGTAAAAAAATAACACAAGCAAGGAAATTAATAGAAGTCTAACTATAACATCTGAGGAAGTTGGAAGGGCGATATCCAGAATGAAGAATTGCGGATGAGTTGCTGAAAGCAAAAAGGCATGGTATATGGGATAGAATGACTCAACTAATGCAAAACTGCTGAGAAAAAATACAAGTTCCCTCGGAGTGGAAGACCTAGGCGCACCTAATATCTATTTTTAAAAAAGGAAACAGAAGAAATCCAAAATGCTATCGAGGCCTAAGTGTAAAAGTTGTTAAATTTTTGCTTGCTCTAGATATAAAACCCACCTTCTGCGAAAACTTTCCGATTATGCCAAATTTTAACCATTCCAGGGGTAAATGCTTTATTCCCAAATTTGTTTAACTTATCTATTACTAATAAATTCCGAATTATTTCATATACTTTATCCGATAGAATTTGATGTTACAATCCGCATTGATATATCAAACATTTTTCACAAAAAATCCGGAGAGTCTACAAATTGAAATGTGAATCACGTAAAGTCTGTTCATAGATATAAGAAAGTGAATAACTGATACCAATTAAGGAAATACCCGGGCCAGCTGTAAAAATGAAATATGGACGAACAGATCCGTACTTTGCTTAGAATTTAATTATCTGGGGTTTTGTTAGGAACGATACTAAACAATATTTATTTATTTACGTATGTATTTATGTTTAAATCTAAAATAAAAATTCAAATTATTTTTATTACCTACTTAAATTACTTAAAATTATTCACATAACATATCAGTATTACTATCGCTATCA